GGCTGCTCTGCTGCGTTTCTGAGAAGCTCAAGCTGTTAAAAATTGAAATTTGTGCTCTGTAACCTCTGGGTGTGATGAATTCCAGAGGAGTTCCAGGCTGAAGCTGCCCCTTGCCACCTGGGCTGAAGAGCAAACCCTGAAGCAAACTCTTACTAAAATTGAAACTGTTCCTACAGTCTAATCAGAGGAACTGGTGGTTTAATCTAATGGGTCAGGGGGCTTTACTGCACTGTCAGAACTGCTGGTCGTGGAGCCTCATCTCTGTGGGGCTGGAGAACTTCTCTGCCTCTAAGTGAGCAGCTTTACAGACTGTGCTTTGAGATAATTTACTGTAATTGCAGAGGTTTTGTGGTAGGGAAATGAAAAAAATCCATTCCAGTGAGTTTTAGGGGGGTTATCCTGACACTGGTAGGGGGGTGGATTTGGGGTTGGGGGTTTTGGTTTTTTCTGGTCATCCTGCTCCCTGCATAGTCATCATGGCACTGGAGAGCTGCAGTTAACTCTGTGACAAATGACCCAGCTGTGAAATCAGTCTCATTCCTTGGCAGTTACATTTTGAAGCATAATCCACTGGGGAAGCTTTTTGAAGCTCCTGTCAGTGTGTGGAGCCTCCTGGTCCCAGTGCCTCTTTCCTGCACTCCAGGGATGTGACGAGGCCCACATGGGGTTCCTGTCAGTGCCATGTCCTGAGGTGACTCTGCCACCAAGTGCAAGGTCACTGCTTTCCATGATTCCACACAGGGGATCTCTGCAGCTGGCTTGAGTCTGTTCTTGCTTTAGATTTCTCCCGGATCCAAGCGCGTGAGGCTGAGTTCAGCCTCTTGCCAGAGCTGCTGCCAACGTGTGAGTCATCCTGGGAACCTGGTGGAACCCTGTGCCTCCTGCACGGAGAAGAGAAGGTGACTGCAGTGCTGGTGGGGTGGAGAGGGTTGGGTCTGGTGAGATCCAGCACGTGCTTTGCTCCAGGTCACTCGTGCCCTCCTAGTTGGACAGGATGTGCCTGTGGCATCTCCTGGCACCGAGGCAGCAGGTGGAAGGGGGCAGGAAGAGTTGGTGCCTCTTGCTTCCCACTGCTGTGGATGCTTGGGTGTATTTTGGAATACACACCGGCCAGAGACATCCCCAAACAGAGGGGATGGAGCATTCCAGTCTGTTATTTCCACGGTGTCCTTAGGATGCTGGTGCTGCCCAGGCAGGTCACAGCCCCTTGGGGTGGCCACGAGCTCTTGTGTGCCCAGGTGAGGTGTCCTCAGCACTGCACTGTTCTTTGGGGTTAACGAGGAAAAGTTGAGGGGACTCATCCTCTTGGCCTGGCCTAGAGGGCAAGGCTGGGAGCCCAGAACATCTGGGTTTCATCCTCAACTGGGTTACTGATTTTTTTTCTTGGCGTCTCCAAGCAAAAGTTCTCCAGCTTTTGGTTGCCCATCCGTGAGGCTGGACTGCTGCTCCCTTTGATCTCTTCAGAGGAATTATGTCATGCACATTCAATGCATTCTCTTTTACCAGCTGACCATTGCTCAAGCCTTTACGGTTCCTTTAGCAGTTTTCCTTCTAATTGGGCATGACCTGTTG